GTAAATAGATTTGAGCTTGTAGATACCCTTCAATGCGTCGACAGACAACCCTTCTTTATACCCAGCTCTCTGCTATGTACTATGTCATGGACCCTGGATTGCTAGCGCGTGAATCCACGTGAGTGGCTCGTCTGGCCAATCAGAGCCCTCTTGATTACGCTGATGGTGCGGAGTGAGGCTCAGGACTCGCAGGCGCCACCGTGCTGATTATTCACTGCTTTTCGCTTCTCTTCCATTTGTTGGAGATCGTTTGAGGGTTATCTGATTGATATGTATGGTGGTTCGTAAGTGGCGTGAGGTGGTGTTAGGTGAGAGTCTCACTCGGAACATGTAGTTTAGATGGAGTGGCGACCACAACATTCGATCACATCTCACATCAACGGCAATACCAGTTATAGTTGTCATAAGTGGAGAGTGCATTATTAAGAAGAAGTAGAGTAGATACTAAAAATATAAGACATAACCATCATCAAAATCATTGCGGCGCCGTATTGGTCCGCTTCATGCCTTTACCCTTTAACCGTTCCCTCGCCGGTGACTCCTTGATCATTGTCTTCGGAGACACCTCTTCAATCTCGCCAATAACCTCCCTGACCCTCACAGGCGTCCGTGGCCGCTCATCAGAGTTAGTCTCACTGGCAAGCGTAGACCCCCTCGCCCTCCCCGGCGACATGCCAGGCGCATCCGTAGTAGCCCTGCGAGCCAACTCTCTGACTCTCCCCGGTGAGGCGCCTCCAGGGCTACCCAGTGTGCTGACGTCGCCTGAAGAGCGACGCCCTTGGTGCTTAGACAGAGATTGTCTAATGCGAGAGTATTGCGTCCATTTGGTCAGTCTGGAAGTCCTTAGTACTTCCCCGACGGCTTCTTGGAGTTCTCTTACCGCATTGTTCTGCAGCGCCTGGAGCAGCACAATCGCGTTTTGGTGGTCCCGGCTAGCTGTTGATGGGGATTGCTGCGCGAGACCTGCTTCTGTTGCGTTGGCGTGCTCTTTGATTGTTTCGAGGAGGCCGCTGTCCTCTTTTATCTCTTCGGCGATGGCTGCTGCGCCCTCGAGTGTTTGGGCTAGTAAGCCTAGACCGAGCAGTCCTTCCGATCGAGCTTCAGGGTAGAAGCGCTGTCGTACAAGCTGGGCGATCGGTTTGGCTATCTGGGGTACTTGTAAGATCTGTATTTGCACTGCTTCAACGTCTTTTTCGGCATTGGGCCGTCCGAGATATCGCAGCATGGCGACAATAGTGCGACCGAGCTCGATCATTGGGTTCTTCATGGTAGTGCTTGGTAGCGGGGCTGACGGAGCAAGGGCCTGCTCCACAATGTGCGAGAAGATTACGGTATCGGCTGAGATGTCTGGGTCGATGGCTTCTGTGTCAGGGCCGACAGTCTCGTACATGACCTTTTCGATGTTGTAGAAGTTGCCGGTGACGAGCTTGCATAGCATAGCCGCTGCCTCGCCACGGACTGAAGGATCGTCCAGTACGAGCATGCGACAACACGCTTCCATGAGTCCGGCATCTGCAAGCAAAGCCCTGTTAGCCTCTGGAAACGTAAGATGTCGCATGAAACCAGCTGCGGCATAAAGAAGGGCAGGCTTGGTGCTCTTCTTCAGAATTACAATCAATCGAACGTGAAGTTCCATAATCTTGACCATGTCTATGCAAACCTCATCAGACATAGCCAAATTTCCGACCATGACACAAGCGCATATCGTAGATGGGTATGCGCTCTCCCAAGGTGCGCGGAGCTTTGCTTCCAGCCTCTCGATAACAGGACTTCTGACATTGAAGCTTCGTGCAAAAACATCTGTTGCTGAAGCGGCAGATAGCAGCCCAATGAGTTGAGCCATTAGAAGAACCTGTGCCTCGTCTGATGTGGTGGTATCCGCGTTTTTGCTTGTTGCGAGTTCCTGGAAGACAGCTTCGATGTCCTCTGGCTCCAATCGGGCCTCAAACTCCAGCATCAGGGTCACAAGGTCGTCGAGAAGTTTCGGTGTTGCTATCCTTTGCTGGAACTCTGGGTCTTGGAGGTAATGTACCAGGATGGCCACGTACTCCAGATGATGGTCTTCATCGTATTGCAGTGCCACGTTCAGCAGACTCTTGAATGTCTCCAGCGAAACCTCGTCTTTGAACTGGGCGTCGCTCAGGTTGCTTGTGGTCCAGCTCAGCAGGTCCGTGGCGTAATCCAGCGCTGCTTCCGGGATTCTGTCCAGTACTAGGAAGGTGCATATTGTGGCATCCAGTCTGAGGGCAGCCGCTGCAGCTTTGCCGGGTTCTATCTGCATGAGCTGCATGTCTGGAGGATCCTGTGGCATTGCTCACCAAAATCATTACAAAGATTGAAAAGTACGGCCAAAGTGGTCAAGCGTAGTTCTGGCGAGGGAAGGCAGCCAGCGATGGCACCGAGCTCTCTCACGGCGAGCTCTCTGTTGGTATCTTGACTCCAGTCAGACTGTTTGCGTCGTAAGAGGGTCTCTTCAGGTTACAGTACCATTATCAGCAACCGAGTTGCCGATGACTCTCAGGTATTGCTTTGCTACGGGATCTTCATGGCGAACGGTAGACAAGCCACGAAGAGCATAAGCAAGGATGCCGCTGTCGCGGAACGGGGCCTGCCATCTTTCTATACAGTGTCAGCAGGGTTGGCTTTGAACAGAGGCATAACATACTCCGACCGCCAACAGCCGTCCCAAACAGCTGCAAGGTCTTCTCTATGGCCTCATTGTCCCCACTTGCTGCAAACGCATCGAGCTTATGCACGTAACCTGTGAGGACAGCGGTCTGGCCTGCAGGGTTGGCTTGGAGTAGGCGCTCTAAAGACGCTATATAGTCGCCAAGCTCCTCATTGGATAATGGCATATCGCAAAAGTGTGAAGATGAAGAAACGCAGTCGCTCAAAGTCGTGGCAAAGCTCAAGAGTGCATAGTGGCGGTAGAGATTGCGCAAGGATGAAACGGCTACTCGCAGTCGTCCGGAGCCGCCGTACAGGTGATGGCTACTAGTCGGATTGGTTTCAGGAGAACTCCAGAAAAAGTGCAATCAATAGTTCAGCCACTTGTTTTTTGCAGATGCGGAAAGAAACGGGGTGAGTTCCTGCGGCAGCGTCGACCCACCGCGCGGTTGCCCTTGCCTTTGGCCGGTTCCGTTGGACCCCTAGACACAGATCCCTTGGCGGCAATTGAGCGATCTGGCACCGAACATTCACCACCACAGACGTCGAGCATCACGGCCACGCCCTCACCCGCACTTCTTCCGACCACCGACCCTCGTTTAACCCGTTTACAACAACCAATTCGCCAGCATGACGCGCGCCACGCAGACCATCAGCATTGGCATGCTCCTCACCTCTGTATGCAGCCCCTTACCTCTACATATTGAGATTGATGCTAACATGTGATAGATCTACCTCTCACTGTTCCTCCAAGTCGTCCCGCTGCCTCAGAAGATCCAAGAGGAGATTGTTCCTTTCGTAAGTCTTACCTTTACATAGAAGCGTTGGCCCACCACCTTCACCATCTCCATTGTTATTGTACTGGGCTGCCACTAACCAAACCATAGCTACCCTTCTGGGCCCTCATCTCTTTCGGCGCATACCTCCTCTTCAAGCTCGGCTGGGGAGTCTTCACCTTCAACGACGTACCGGACGCGCACAAGGAGCTCATGCAGCAAATAGCAGAGGCGCGGAAAGATCTTCAGGCAAAGGGCGTGGATGTCGGCGAAGATTAGACGAGATGGAAGCTTGGGGTGCAGCATAATTGGTGTTATTTTGGGGCATAGGATGGAATATCGCAAGATATGTAATGGATGGGTATTTGAATGGCAAGATAGATCTATGGGTATTGCCAGATTCCAAGCTCACGCTGCCGCAGCGGCTTCCGCCTTCTTCTGCGCCTGTTTCAACTTCTTCTCCGTCCTCATAAACTCCCGAATGCCCACGGGTATATCGTCAAACAACTTGTCTTTCTCCGCATCATCGAAACCAGTGTCCCAATTCGTCTCACTTCCACCGCCATCGTCGTCCATACTTGTAGCAACATGACTCGGAGATGTCTCTCCCGCTACCATGCTTCCTGTGCCTTTTCCTTCCTGCCGTTGTGCCTGCATTGCCGCTCTTGCTTGGGCGCTTTTCTCCGCCCACTCTTCCATCTCATCTCGATACATGTCCCATACACAGTTCACGCATCCAGACATGCAGCAGTTGTCTGGTTCTTCGGGTCGCGGAGGGACTAGTACGCCGGCGACTTTCTGGGACGATTTCATGATCTCCTGTTTGCGTTCTTCCAGTGCAGTTGTAGACCCAAAGATTATACGGGCTTTCGCAAACGTCTCTTCCTTCTGTGTCTTCGGCGGCTCTTTTGGCGGTTCCGGCGTCGTGTGGGATAGGGTTTGTACTTCTGATAGTGGCTTCTTCAGCATGTCTGGATGTTGTTAGTTCGAGTACCGCAGGTGATGCAGGTGAGGGTCCAACCTGCATAGAAGCCGGTGATAGGCCTGGCTTGTTCGCCTTCTGGTGCAACATAGCCTTTGAAGCGACGCTGTATCCGATTGCTGTTCTGAAGTCCTATTCGCCCTGCCTCTGTCGAAGCACGCGACGTGCGCCATGTCTTCAAGCACGAAGCGCAGAGCTCCTGGCGCAATGCCAGTTGCCCGGAGTATGCGATGCGTTCCATTGCCCAACAAAAATCCGTGAAGAGATGAAGCAATCACACGAAGCGCTTCGTTATGACATATCGAAGTGAGCCACTGTTGTCGATTGCCAATTCGCAGCTGATTGAAAGTAACGATTGACGGTTCGACGTCATTTTGCGCCGCCGTTCCGAGCGTCGGCAAAAGCTGCAGCGAACGCCGACAGGGCAACAACACGCGCCGACGCGTCGCATTCACTGTTATCGTCGCATACCCCACCAGCCCATCCATCCCAGTCCCGGACATATTTCTACCACGAAAGCGCCCAAATCACGCGCCGAAACTGCGGTCCTTGCGAAATCTTCACATGCGAACATCATGAACGAACCACCGGCGAAACGGAGGAGGACCAGCTCGCCTACCGAACAAGCGTCAAGTCCTCTGAGGAAACCTCCGCGACGACCGTCTTTTGCATCGCCTACCAAAGCCAGTCTTGCGCGCAACTACCCGAATCTTCTCTCCGCATCTCCAAAGCGCAACCCAAACCGACCTGTATCAGCTAGAAATGGCTCCAGAGGAAGGGAAGAGCCCGAAGTGGAACTACCCAGCGAGAGCGACCTGCCAGAACTCCCAGGGACACCGTCACAGAACATTCGAGCAGCATCGAAGCAGCCGCGGCGAACGATGATCTTCTCATCACCAAGCAAGCGTCCCCCGCGTGTCAAAGATCCCGTCAAACAACCTCCACCGAGTTCGAGAGCGCCAGCGGTACAATCAGACGATTTCACAGGGACGGTAGAAGATGGCCCTGTGGATGACATTACTGAGGACATAACTCAAGAAGTGGTACATAAGAAACAGCCTCCAGATCCAGAGATTGAGAGAAGGAAGCAAGAAAAGGCGCGTCTACAGCGTGAAGTGGAAGAGTTGGAGTCTCAGGTGTCAAGATGCATCGAAGAAGTCGTTAAGGAGCAGCGCCGCGGTCCGGAGGATTCTCTGCGGTCTCCAGAGCGCGACAGTCTGAAGTAAGTCCAAAACGCTCCCATGATAGCCAAACTGTGACTGACACAATACCAGGAAGTTCATATCGGATATCAGCGGCACCGATACAGAGCCAGAGAAGCCAGCACCAGTATCAAGTCTGCTTTGTTCGTTCTTGCCATTCGCCGCCCTCTCCGTTCCACCTCCACGCCCGAAACAAGCGGAAAAGCCCGTCCCATCGCATCGCCCAGTCGAACTCGCGGATCCCTTGCCATACCTCCAGATGTTCACATCACTCAACTTCTCCACACAACTCAGCTTGCCCCGCGGAAAGATATTCCCAACCTCACGGCGGGTCCACCAGAAGCATACCATCGACATTGCGGGTCCACAAAAGCTGCTCACAGCCCAGGTTTCGATTACCATCGACGCCTTAGCAAACGAGATTATCGAAATGCAACTTTTACGAATCTCACCGTGGGCTGAGCGTGAGCTGGGTACATTCATCCGGTCGAAAGCGCAAGTAAGAGATCTGGGTAATGCGTCTTGGGCTATGGACTCGTATTGGGAGATTGCGAAGAAGCGGGCACAACACTGGCACAAGTGCGAGACGGCGTTTGCGCATCTACTTGTAGGCCGGACCACAGAAGATACCGAGAACACCCAGTCACGGCAGCAAAGCAAGCCCGCGAACACTATCACACGGAAGGACTTGAGCAGGAACTTGGGCCGTGATACCCTGGTTCTGCAGGATAAACACGTCCTCCTGAAGCTCAACTGGCAAATAAGTTTCGACTGGACAGGCGAGGCGGAGTCAGACATCGGTGTGGAGGCCGCATTCCCCCAAGTGTGGTCCGAGACAGACGGCAGCGCAGCATTCAAGAAGATACCCCAAACCTTTGCTTCTCTTGTTCGTACCAAGGGTGCTTTCCAGGCTACTAGCGTTATGGTAGCGCTCTTGTTTTCTCAATGAATTGTATTATTGCGATGTGCCCTGGAGGTATTCGCCATGTTCTACGTTGATGTACTGAAAATATGAGTATAATATATCCGTCAGGGTGGGTTATGGTTGACATTGCTCGAATAACACCGTCCTTTGTCTTCATCAACTGCAGTCGAAATGTGGGTAGTGTGTGAGCGTTACCCTACTGTCGCTGGCAGCAAGTCGAGTTGATGTAACTCGGTTCATACCATTGGGTAGAAATTCGTCACTCGCCCATGGTACGTACCATCAGCGACCACGTACTCATCACTCTTCAAATGCAGACCCAATCCCCTTCTTATTCTACTATCCTTCCCAACCTTGTCCACACAAACACACCGCGAATACCTCCCAGCTCTATCTTCACAAAACTTCCACCACAACAAACACCCACGTATCCCTCAACCCCCCATCCTCCCCTCTACACCATCGAAATGGCCGAACGCAAGACCACCCAGAAGTACTATCCTGCCGACTTTGACCCAGCAAAGCTAGTGCGCTCAAAGAGATCCCCAACCCCTGCGCGCACCGTCGTAAACTTCGCCTGCCCTCTCCGCAGCATGCGCTGCCTCACCTGCAACCACTACACCACCCGCGGTAAAGTCTTCCGCAACAGCCCCAAACACATCTCGCCTGAAACATACCTCGGCGTAAAGATAGTTACTCTGCATTGTAAGTGTCCTGGCTGCGGTGCGGGAATCGTTATCGAGACTGATCCTAAGAATATGGATTATAGGATTTTGAGTGGGGCGGTTAGGGTGTTTGAGGCGTGGAGAGATGATGAGCGCGCCAAAGATACCGAAGAGCAGCGTTTGGAGAGACTTGAAGCTGAGGGACTTGAAGGGGGCGACAGGAAAGCGACGTTGGAGACGCTGGAATGGAAGACTGAGGATGTGAGAGTTGAGATTGCTGTTGCTGATGCGTTGGATGAGATTAGAGCGGCGAATGCACGGAGAGAGGGTGTTGGTAAGGAATGTAGCGGGGCTACCCTGGCGCCATCGAGAGAAGCTGAGGATGAGGAAGATGCGGAGATCGCAAGGGCTGTTTTTAGGGGGACGAAGAGGTGTTCGCCAGATTCCGAATCACCTGGAGAGTTGCTGAACGTGGAGTTCTCGGTGTCTAAGCCGGCGAAGAAGGCTAAGAAGGATTTTGCGAGGACGTTAGGAATTAGGAGGAAGATGGACATTCAGGATACTGTATAGCTTGTCAATCACACCTTTATCAACTGGAATTGCTATGTGCTATCTGAGTCTGCGAATACTACTTCTGGTTGTGCCAATATGTCAGCATAACTGTCATGCCGGAAACCATCTGATACATGTTCGCGGTCCTTACAGCCTTTACGTAAAATTCTCCACAGCATATTCCGCTCGTTCGGTATCTTGCTCCATATGTAGTATCTCAGTTTCCAGTCTCTTCTAGACACATAATCAGGTCTGGATAGATGCAAAGGTACGATGTCGAGTAAATAACGGCGTATTGTTCTTCGATTGATCGCATATTCCTCGTCCTCGAGGTGTGGAAGCCATTCAGCTGCCGTGCAAACAAAATATCGCAGCACTTGAGTAGTGAATCCATGATCTTCCATCTGAACAGGGTGACATTCACCTTTCAGGACTTCGATCTGCTTAGTGAGAAGCTGCAGTAGAATGTCTTGCGGGTGCATTGAGTAATCGGGGAATACTCTGAGCGATGGTTTTAGCATACCCATCATACCAAATACCCGATCTCGAATATTCGAACATTCTGTGCCCCGAACTAAATGGCTGAGAGGACTCCAGTCCTCGTTTGCGATGACAATTCGAGTCGCATGGATATGATATATGCGCATCAATCCTTTTTTTTCTTCGTCTTTCCGATCTTCGGCTTTCCCTGTTTCCCATAGACGTTGCCAGGCCTTATCTAACCTTAGCCAGCCCTTATAGAATGCATCCCATAAGAGGGTTTTGGAACCAACGCGTATATGAACGACTCTACCGAGTACGATCTCCTGAGTAACCCATAATCGTGTCCAGTACGGTAGACGGGCCATTCTGCTCAGAGGATGAACAAGTTTTCGCATCTCTCGCTCACTCACACTGAGTCTGGGCGAGGGAGACTGCGACGAGAGATTATTTTCGTGGATAATCAAGTCCACTAGCTCGTCGCTTCCTTCAAACCCAGGACCTAGCCAGGCCTCGACGATGTGGGCTGTACCATATATCTCTGCCATCTGATGAACCTGGTGAGCCTTCTCGTTATTGTTGCCTTGGTTGATGCATATCTGATCGATCCAAAATGAGGCCGTGCGAAAGTCTTGGCTTGTCTCCAGTATGTCGACGTTCTGGCGAACCGAATCGCAGCCTTGTCTTATCTTCAGGAAGTCGTAAAGGTTTTGTCGAACCGAAAGCCAGCCTCGACTTTCGGAACTTGTAACAAGTACGTCCTGCGCTGGCAACTCAGGACCCCAGGTGTACGATAACGCGATAAACTTGAACGGCGTCTCCTGCAAGCATTTTGCATACAGATCCTTGGCTCTCTCTCCGCGATACCTCATACCATAGTCATCAACCTTAAGTACCTCTTCATCATATCGAGTGATAGCATGACTGTGTCCACTAAAATCGACATTCTGTATGGTGATCTGAATTGGGCTTGACGGGCCAGAACTCTGTTCAATCTTTACGAGGCGTATCTCTTTATTTTTTGAAGTTCAGTGGAGTGTGCGTGAAGCGCACGTGTTTCGGTGGTAGCTCCATGGCTGCGGCAAGACTGTGCGCAACTATTCGCTAGGCTGTTGAAATGGCATGGGCTTTGGTTGAGAGCGTTTCGCAGAATTGTAGACGAATGTGACATGCAGACCGACTTGCAATGTCTGCGACTCCTGTGCTGTAGCTGAGATGAGAGGCTTTGCGATGTTTTGACAGCATCGAGGCGGTGTGAATCTAGGAGGCTGAGCTTTCGGTAGCCAGAGGCGCGAAAGTGGTTGGCCTGAATGTTCCAGAAAGCCGGCGACACGAGCTTGCAGAACATCGTTACTGACCCTCAAAGGGTAATAGCCTAAGCCCAGAGCTAGCATAATCAGCGAACTAGATTCAATACATGTATGTTCTACATTGAGACGAATGTAAAGGCGCACAAAATCATGTGCGCGTAGGGAGAACGATGTAGCTTGTGCGGAGAGCCTCATTGTTCTTAGTGGTAAACATCAGGGCTATACCAGCTTGGGCCTAGTGGCTAACACCGGGGAAAGAGTGAGCGTGTCCATACACATCCAGCTTATGGGAACAGCACTACAATATACTCTAACACATACAGATGCGAAGTTTCAAATGTCGGCCGCGGTTTAAATCGCATCATGTCCGATCGCTACTGCCATGCGCCCAACGTTCACGATATCTTCGCATACCCACCTATCAACCCTAACACCACAACCGCAACACCAATTCTCCCATCCTAGTTTTCTCTCGCTAATCAACAATACGAATGAGCGAAACATGTTTCAATGCTATACTGTACACGACGAAGCGCTTAGGTAGACCACATCCCAACCCCACACACAACCGTAACACAACACCACTCTTCCATTCTAAGCACCCTCTCCACCAATGACGCCAGCCCTTCCCTTAGGACACAGCATAAATTCTCCGAAACAAGCACTGCAAGCACCCCTATCGCATCTCTCGCGTCGTGTGACCAAAGACTCGACAGCAAAAGCCTGGTCTGAGCCGGGTACTTGCACCATGAGCTGCATGGCCGGTGGGTGACTTGTGCTTGTGGGGCGAAGAGAACGCATGGATGTAAGGTGCAAAGTGCAAGGTGCTGATGCAGGAAGGGACCTGAGCTTCGAAGAGCTTGGGCTTTGGACTTTGGGCTTTGCGTTGACAATGTGCTTTTGTGAGAGATGGCCGTGCTGGGAGGATGTGTTGATGCGGGTACGATGACGGAATGTTGGAGTAGGCCTTGTCAACGTGTTCGGACACACGATGCGATGACGAGGCTGAGCTCGTTCTCCCGGGTCCTGGCCCGTAGAGTAAGATGGTAAGAGTCATACCTTACCAACAAACCTCCAGACTATTGCTGCCCAAGACCTGATCTCCGCCCAAACATTCCTTCTTCCTCTCCTTCCTCCGCTACAGACGCAGGAAGCCGACCGTAGAATATACTCGGATAGATGCCTGCGAGCTCCCACAGCCATGAGTCCGCATCGCTAGCCCACCGTGGATCCATGTTTCCTCGCTGCATCCTCGTTTTCCTTCGTACGAGCTCGCGGGATCGGTAGCTAGCTCCCTATGCCATGCCATGCGGCCATCCCAGCGTCGGGCATCGCCTACGTGCGTTCTGCCTAGGAGGCGAAGTCGACGATAATAGCGTTCCGAAGTCTGGATATCGCGCTACCTGGTTCATGCATGTTCGCAGCAAGGTTTGGAGGTGGGAAGAACATCGTAGCGTATGACGCGTGAAGAGAACCGTGGAAGGAAAAGAAGACAAGTCGTCGTCTAAAGCGCTGGGCACTTACCACCTAGTGGACTGTACGCGCTCTTCTCGTATGCCCAATGACCTGTGCTCATGGGCTGATCATGCAGCTTCGCGTGGGATGCCGGCGATATGGCGCCCTAAAGGCAAACCTTGCTAATTGGGGGTGTGCAAAAGACAACCATGGTCGATCGTGAACGTTCGCCTTTGTTAGTACGACGCCAGAATGGGAAAAGCATAGACAGAGGCTCAGCTGTCACGCCGTTAGGACTGGTACAGCGCACGGAGAGGCTGAGCAGCGAAACGCTCTGGGCGACTGTCGGAGACCGCTTAGTTGCATATGCGCCCTTCGGAACGCCTACCCGCTGTCAGTCTTACGCCTGTCCTTCTTGTGTACACGGCCGGGTGTGAGTGTGCTGTTGTAGCTTGCCGTGAGGAATGTGTGACTGTGAACACCTTTTGTCGGGCCGGTCGTACGTGTACGGGAAGCCGCTTGTGTCTTGGGCGGAAACGCGGGAGTAGAGGCATGTCCAATTGTTCGTATGGCGGATGCAGCAAACTCAAACGCAGTGATACGCTCATAGATGGGGATGTCTGCAGGTGGCTAGATGAGGACCATCACTGTGTTACTTGCGCTGTTCAAGGGGGCCCGTTACAGTAAGGGGCGTTCCGAAGCATTGGACTGGGCGAACACATGTCGAGAAGCGGCGCAATGCTGTACCACTTGTGGGGATATCGTGCTAGCATTGAGCAACGATCTGATCATGTTGTGGAAGGTTTCTCGCAAGTGGCTGATGAGGCAGACTTCGGTAGCTATCGTGCAACCATGCAGCGCCATTGCATGTTCTTCGTGCGACCGACAAAGTTTGGCATCGCCCTAGGAGAAGGAAATATGCGGAGATGCTCGCCAGTACGGAGATGTTGGGTATCAGTGACTTGGAGATGTATTTCCGGTGTCCACGAACGAAGGCGCATTGGTGATGGAAGGTTTTGGGTTCATGACTTGGAGCGACGCCTTTGCTGGTCTGGCCCGATGAACACCCAAAGTACTGTCGATGTGCAATGCCACGGACAACCGCATCGGCATGGAGGCATGCTTTTGAGATGTCTGCCTGGAAGAAGGGTCGATCACGTTGAAATGGACGTGCATAGCTAAAGGAACGAAGAGATTCCAGGCATCAGGTTCCAGCAACACAGCACAGACTGGTACCCGCAAGGTGGATGTCAACCGACAGACCCGACAGTTTGTTGTGAGACGGAACGGTGACACCGACAAAGAACAAGCCACGAAGCTTACTGCGCGCAAGGTCCGCTCCTTACTTTGAGGCCTCAGATCGGCAATCCCTACGCAGAAGTAAGTATCCGGTGTGCAGTTTACCGAACCCGTTCGTCTATCTGTCACGCCGCACCTGGTATGTCACATGCTCACAAAGCGAAAGTGAGATCGCGCCTAAGCGAAAGCAAGTTCGAGGTACTTTCGGGGCGCACGAAAAAGCATTCTTCTGGGGTGCGTACGGGTGTCGGAAGAAAGAAAGAATTGATGCAAGTACGGTATAGGGTAGCAAGGAATGCCTCAGGCAAGTATTGGCGAACAGCCACAATATTCAAGAGCCGAGGGACGATGTCATCCCGTACTGAAGCGAGATTCAACGTCGTCCAGGCTGGGTTTCGTCGATATAGCCCCCATATGAGCTGATAGCAGATCTTTGATGCCGTTGAGCGACCAGGGCACTTCTCCCTATCACCT